TGGGTCAGACCAAAGGTCCATCTAGCCCAGTAGCCTGTGTGCCGACAGCGGCCAACCCTAGGGACCCCGGAGGGGATGGACTGAAGACAGTGACCAATCCATTTGTCTCGTGCCATCCCTCTCCAGCCTTCCACAAACTTTGGGCAGGGACACCACTCCTACCCTCTGGCTAATAGGACTCCATGGACCCAACCTCCATGACTTGATCTCACTTCCCTTTAAACTCTGTTCTAGTTCTAGCCTTTACAGCCTCCTGCAGCAAGGAGTTCCACAGGTTGACTATTTGCTTTGTGAAGAAGAACTTTCTGTTATTAGTTTGAAGCCTGCTACCCATTCCTTTCCTTTGGTGTCCTCTAGTCCTTCTATTATGGGAACTAATGAAGAACTTTTCTGTATGCACCCTCTCCACCCCACTTGTGCTTTTATAGACCTCTATCATATCCCCCCTTCATCTCCTCTTTTCTAAGCTGAAAAGTCCCAGTCTCTTTAGCCTCTCTTCATATGGGACGTTTTCCAAACCCCTCATCATTGTAGTTGCCCTCCCTTCTCCCACCCTCTCTCTTCTCCTCTCCCACCTCCTTTTCCCAGTCTCACCGAGTTTTGTTCAATAAAGAGAGATTCTATTTTTGAACACAATTGTCCTTTATTTTGTAAATCAGGAAGGGGGGCTCGGGAGGGGTAAGTGGAAGGAGGTGAGAGAGGAATGGGGAACGAGCCCCCGATGGGGAAGACTGGGCTGGTTCTGCGGGCTTCTGGGGGTGGAACCTCTCCTGCAGCCCCCCAATTGCTCCTTCTCCCCAGTTGGCAGCCTGCGGCAAGTGCAGCCAGTCTGATGGCCAAGTGCTGTGATGTGCCCAGTGTGGGTACTCCAGGCAATCCAAGCCAGGACTGCTTAGCAAGCAGAGCACCCCTGAGAACTGTCTGTCCGGGGTGGGGGTCGGGTCCCTTTAAGCACAGCCCTCGGCTAGCCTGAGACAGAAGCTCCATGCTCTAAGTCCTATTCTGATGCCCTGCCAGCACTGCTTCCGACCAGCCTTAATCCCGGTTCAGGGTCCACTCTGTGTGGACATGCTAGTTCGAATTAGCAAAATGCTAATTCGAACTAGTTTTTTAGTTTGGATGCGTTAGTTCGAATTAGCTTAGTTCGAATTAACTAATTCAAACTAAGTTAGTTTGAATTAGCGCTGTAGTGTAGACATACCCTGAGAGGCTTACCAAGCTGATCAAACCTTCAGATCGCTACCCCTTCCTGCTTCTCCACGTGGGAACTAATGATACGGCCAAGAATGACCTTGAGCGTGTTACTGCGAATTATGTAGCGCTGGGAAGAAGGATCCAAGAATTCGGAGCGCAAGTGATATTCTCGTCCATCCTCCCTGTTGAAGGGAAAGGACTGGGCAGGGATCGTCGAATTGAGGACGTAAATGCATGGTTGCGCAGATGGTGTCACAGAGAGGGCTTTGGTTTCTTCGACCATGGGACTTTGTTCCGGGCACAAGAATTGTTAGGAGGAGATGGGATTTACCTAACGAAGAGAGGAAGGAGCATCTTCGCGGGCTGGCTTGCAAACCTAGTGAGGAGGGCTTTAAACTAGGTTCGTCGGGGGACAATGACCAAAACCCTGAGGAGAGAGGGAAAGTTGGAAGAAATGCAGAGAGCCAAAGAGGAACGAGCATCAAAGGAGGACCACTGATTTGAATGTAAAAGATAGGACAATCAAATGCATCTGACGAAGTGGGTCTTTGCCCACGAAAGCTTATGCTCCTACACTTCAGTTAGTCTATAAGGTGCCACAGGACTCCTCGTCGCTTTTGCAGATTCAGACTAACACGGCTACCCCTCTGATACTATGAATATGTAGCTATCCCTGCATAGCCCCTTAGTGCAGAGGCAGCATGCCAACAGAAGGAACTTTTCTGCCAGCTTAGTTAAACTGTCCCTTTAAATGGCATTTGCATTACCAGGAAAAACACTTTTCTGTTGACAGTGTTATATCTGCACAGTGGTTTTGCCGGCATAGCTGTGCTGGAGAGAGAGTTGTTGTTTTTTCCCCCACGCCTTGATTAACATAGCTCTGGATCAGAGAGAAAATATTTTCACATTGGCCTACATTAGAAAAAACTAATAAGTAGATCTATGTGAGATTCAACATATGATTGAATCTTAATGTTCAGAAGAGCAGACTGGCATTTTGCATACATTATGGAAACTACTTAGAATAGTTTTTCAAAACTGCCCACTCCATAAATATGGCTGGTGACCAGGGTTGTGTCTGTTCTATTGTGAAAAAGTCCCAATGTGTCCAAATTTAGATTCCAGTTTCTTTCCAATGAGGGGAGGACATATGTTGCTAGCAGAAGTTTCATTGGGAATAGTAAACAGAGTTTGGCCCTTGTTATATAGGTCAAGTGTTGATATTTGGATACTCATGCATCCAAATAAACAAACAAACAAACAAGCCAGGCTTTCTTAAGTAAAAGAGAGACTGTCTTTGCCAAATAATTCTCAGAGTAGTTGGAGAGTACATCCACACCCACATTCTTTCCTTCTTCTCAGCCAGCTTCCAATCTATAGCTCCACATCCTCTGGAAACTGAGGCCAATTAGGGTCCTAAGCTTTGACTTTATAGAATACTTATTGCCCGGTACTTATAATAGCTGCTGGACTGAAGGCAGCCATATTGTCAAGTGACTGTTTCCCACTGCACCACTATAGTCCCAGCACCATGTCTGCCTGCAAAGGTCTGGGTTCTAGCCTCATGCTAAGCAGATCAGTGTGCTAATCCATGTCTCCTGACCAGCAGCACTTTCCAGAGTGACTTTGAGTGATTTGTTTATAGATTTTGCTGGGAGACTAATTTGGCATGCGGAGGACACAAGATGTATTCTTATTAAATAAAGCATTTTGAGTGATTACAAGCAGAGCAATATTGTTAAGCCACTGAGATTCCTATTTTGTCTTGTTTCTCTACAACACATGTTCAAGCTCTTCCTCCTCTTTATTTAAAAAAAAAACCTTCTAGGTTAGGATTTTAACACTAGGCAGTGTTTCAAATCTACATGAGAGTTTACGGCTAAATGTAATCTTCTGGAAACTGGGTTTATAAATGAAGAACTAGGAAGTCCTCTCTGGAGGTGCTATAATGTTCTGCTTGCAAAGGCATCTTTCGAATCCTGAATTGACTCTCAAGTGAGACTCTTCCATCAGATATCTGAATATGCCACCCATTGCAACACCACACAAGTATAAGGTTTGTCAGCACTACCAGTCAAATTTTAGCTTTACATTAATTTTCCAGACATTCTAAATCCCTCTGTAAATCTTAGCCTGGCACTAATGCTGTGACTGAGTGAGAGAACTTCATGATAGCAGTGAGTACAGTTATTGTGGAGGTATAACAAAAAATGCTGCACTAGTATCAAAGACAAAGTGGGGTGTCCAGAATCTACTGATATAGTGTTATACTACTTCAGTTGTAAACTCCTTAATTTTTAAAGATGCATGCAAGGAAATGGCCTATATTTCCTGGTTTTGATATACTAGTAGGATTGTAGTGGGAGCCTTTTCTCAGTTTGGCTTTGTTCTCTGTCAGAATACCGTTAGGTTTGAATGGGCACCTCAGGGATGAAAATGATTTAAATGGCTTATTTCACGTTAAATGTTAGTGATAAAGACATCATTCATCCATGCAAAAGTTTCAAGTTTGCGGATGACACTAAGCTGGGGGGAGAGGTAGATACGCTTAAGCGCAGAGATAGGATACAGAAAGACTTAGACAAATTGGAGGATTGGGCCACAAGAAATCTGATGAGGTTCAACAAGGACAAGTGTAGAGTCCTGCATTTGGGATGGAAGAATCCCAAGCATAGTTACAAGCTGGGGACCAACCGGTTAAGTAGCAGTTCTGCAGAAAAGGACCTGGGGGTTATAGTGGATGAGGAGCTGGATATGAGTCAACAGTGTGCCCTTGTAGCCAAGAAGGCTAATGGCATATTAGGTTGCATTAAGAGGAGCATTGCCAGCAGATCCAGAGATGTCATTATTCCCCTTTATTCAGCTTTGGTGAGGCCACATCTGGAGTATTGTGTCCAGTTCTGGGCCCCCCCCACTACAAAAAGAATGTGGACGCATTGGAGAGGGTCCAGCGGAGGGCAGCCAAAATGATTAGAGGGCTGGAGCATATGACTTATGAGGCGAGGCTGAGGGACTTGGGTCTGTATAGTCTGCAGAAGTGAAGAGTGAGGGAGGATTTGACAGCAGCCTTCAACTTCCTGAAGGGAGGTTCCAAAGAGGATGGAGAGAGGCTGTTCTCAGTAGTGACGGATGGTAGAACAAGGAGCAATGGTCTCAAGTTGTGGTGGGAGATGTCCAGGTTGGATATTAGGAAAAACTATTTAACTAGGAGGGCGGTGAAGCACTGGAATAGGTTACCTAGGGAAGTAGTGGAATCTCCAACCCTGGAGGTGTTTATGTATTGGCTTGACCAAGCCCTGGCCGGGTTGATTTAGTTGGAACTGGTCCTGCCAAGAGCAGGGGGCTGGACTTGATGACCTTCTGAGGTCTCTTCCAGTTCTATGATTCTAACCAAACTTTGCATGGGATAACCTTTCAACCAGGAGAAGGTTGTCAGGTATTTTTGGACCCAATCGGGCCTGAGCTCAGGCTGTGAAAATCAAAAAGTAACCCGCCACGCTGCAGGGGCCACTCCGTGCACCTTAGGTCCGATGCCTGCCACCTGCAGCCTTTAGCGCCATCCAGCATTTGCACAAGAGGGCTTTTTCCCGAACGGGAGAGTCATTGTATTTGCAGAAGGACACTGCCAATCTTACATTAGATCGTCAGTGTTCAAATTCAAAGTGGCCAGTGTAGACAGCTAGCAAGTCTAGACGCAACCAAAGAGTTTAATGGCCAAAAGAAAGTCTCCACCATCCAGCTTGATCTCAATGATTTATTCAAGTCTATAGGAAACAGCCAAGGATGAAAACACTATGGAGCATGTATCTTACAACCAAGATTCCGTTCCACTCAAATGTGACAAGCCAGGTTTTGAGTTCCCTCTTGTAAGGATATACTGTATGAACTATGTAGCCTGGGGGAGTAGTGTAATCCAGCGTGCAGAACACTTAATTAATACTTAGGGGAAGAAGAGATAATTCCTGGTCTTACTACTAACATGCTATTAAGTTGTTTTACATGTCTGTGGCTCAGTTGGGGAAGAGACATTCTCTCCCCATGTTTTGTACAACACCTAGCACATCACTATTTTTAGTTTGGGCACCTAGGTGTTACTGTATATAAATAGTAATGGATTCATTCCTCATTTGTGAGACAAAAGATACAAGTCCCTTAGTAACCTGTGTATATGTTACACAAATATCCAGTATTTAAGATCTGAAACATTCACATGAGGAAGATAAGGCTTGTTACATGTGTTACTGAAGGGGAAAAAGAGGTTCAGAGAGGAATTAAGTTGCTCATGATCATAGAGAGAGTAAGCCGCATAACTGGGAATTAGAACCCAGAAGCAAAACTGTTTCTTTTTGGCTTACATTAGGCTTTATTTCTAATTTTGGTTCTTCTGTATTTTGCTTTTAATTTCAGGTTCAACAAACAACAGCAACCTCAAAGCCAAACTCAGTAAAAACTCCTACATTTCTCATGAGTTCCAATCTCGACCATAACATTTCTCACTGGGTACAGCTCTCTAAAGGCACAATCTGTCCTCCTCTCTAGTGCTATTGGCATGTTTAAAGGCTCTTGCATATAATATATGTAGCCATCTCCAGCCAGAAACTGGGCCTGGCTAGTTAAGTTTGGGAGTCTCTATTTTTGGGTGCCCGACTTGAGAGAAACAGAGAATGATTTCAAGATAGTACTGAGCACCTCCTCTTAAATTTCACAGTGGGTGTAAAAAATGGAAACTCCCAGTATCATTAGTATTTTGTCTTTATCTTTGAGAGGCATACAGCTTGGTTTTTCCCATCTACAGACTCATCATCTCCCTGCATGTACCTTCTGCAACAGGACTGGATAGATCCACTTAAGAAAGGCTGACTCCCACTGAAGAAATTCCTTCAGAGGAGCAGGCTCTTTGTCCCACATTTGGTAGGAACAAGATCCCAAAGCCCCCTTACTGCTGTATTGGTTATCAAATGAGGTCAATGCCACAGCTGAACAATGCCCAGAGAAAATTGCAAATCACTAGGCCCCACACTCAAAAGAGAGGCCTGAACCTAGTGGAAAGGGGAACACCATAGTCCAAAGCTGCAGATTGGGTCTTCTGAAGTGGGTTGTGCCCATGAAAGCTCATGATACCATCTACATGATTTGTTAGTCTTTAAGGTGCTACTAGACTATTTGTTGTTTTTTAAGTTTTTCCTGTTACAGATTAACTTGGCTGTCCCTCTGAAGCATTAATTATGAGGCATTCTGACCACTCAAATGTTATATAAACTAATCTTTCCTCACACAGCATATTTTGCTACAAGCACAATTATTTAAAACCAGTTATTTAATTAAATCATGACTCTATACTTCTTTCGCATGTGAGTTCTTAATGTTCACTCTGGGATTGCAAACTAGCCACAAGCATTTACTGGTACTAAGTGAGTGACTGTTCAGTGGTGTAGAACGTGGCTCATAGATGTGTGATCATGATGGGTATGCATTTCAGCCATCTGTCAGAAAATATTCCTGGTGATGTGGACTGAAGACAAGTGAAATCTTTAATTAGCACATCTTTAAAAATATGTGTGTTTGCTACGAACAGATGAAGTTCTAATCCTAAAACTGTTTTGACATTTTATAACTGGAAGTGCATTTTTTTTGCCAGCACAGTAATTTAGATTTCCTTTTAAAAGATAGTAATTTTTTTATATTGCTCATTGTTCCTTTTGCTGCCTTTAATTGCAGTGTTGCCCACATTGAGTAAAGGTCGTTTTTTGGAACTTGTAAGACGAGCTGTAGCATACTGCTGAAATCATAACCTCAGGCATTTTTAAATTAAATGCTATTGAAGGGTGAAAAATTAGCAGTATGACAGGCAAGTAGTAATAAGTTTTGTGCACAGAACTTCATAAACTAAAATATTTATGCTGGTCCTATTAAGCATTATAGCTAAGCAAAAATAGATTTGCTACTTCTGCTATGTTCTTCACCTATCCAATAACTGGACTGAGATTTACTTTGCAACTGCCATAGCACAGTAATGCTTAACTTAGGAAGGTATTAAACAAACAATTTTCAATAGGAAAATCTAATTCTCCAGAATGATTTCATGGAAAATCAGGACTCCTCAAAGATTCATTTAAATACTAAACGACTTGCAGTATCAGTTCTAAGAACTCTTCATGAGATAGACCCATAGCAACTTAAAATAATTTACCAAAAGAATAACAGAATATAATGTAGCTTTTTCTATCAATCTTGCACTAAAAAAGGACAAAAGGCTTGTCATTTGAGAGTGAAACTTTCTTGAATAAATATGGCAATAATTGTTACATGAGAAGTAATTTATCTAGGATGGCCTTAAATTATGGGGGTCACAAGGAATGTATTAAAAAAGTAAAGCGGAGGGAGGGAGAGAATTCATTTCCATACCCTTTTTTTATCCTTATTATCTTCTTGAAACCATTACATAGAAATTAGAAGCTGAAATGAGCCGCAACAAATTCACACATTTAAGAAAAGGCAGATATGACTAGAATATTCTTCATGTTTACAGTCTTGGTCCCCGTGTACTCACAGACTAGAAAAGGCATGGGCTATAAAAGTAGATTGAGAGAAGGCTGAATTTTAAAGACCTCTTCTAGTTTTATTGTCCTGCCCCTTCATCCTCCCCAATCCAGATGAGAACCACATCTGCATGATGTGAGCAACTTCAGGGGCACCCCCTTCCACAAGCAGCATCTGGAAGTGGAGAGCAAAGGAACCTAAGCAGGTGTACCCTAGCAGCTGTGGAGGAGGGTAAAGGAGTGATACAGATTGAGTTGACATTTTTAATACCAGCCTTGTTTCCCCAAAAGCATGGTTCAACCATGTACTAAATCAGACTTTCTGTGATCACACTGAAACTATGATCAAACACAGTTTAGCATCCTGGGCCTGATTGCCCACTCCATGACACAAGTTCTGTACCAATGTGACTCATTTGTTTCATTGGAGTCACGCTGGTTTAAAAAAATGGTGTGACAGAGTGGAGAATTGGGCACACTGTCCCTTGCTAAGTGAACATAGGCTTTGAAGTTGAATGGTGCTATGACATCTATTTCATGTTAGGAGCTGAAGCAGAAGTCCATACTCAAATCTTTACAAACCTTAGTAGTGGTAATAGATGCATTTGCAGCTTAATGAGAGGTTAGAAATGAAGAAATATAACATGGTCAGTTTTAATGAGCTCATCTTTCTTAAATACTAGTTGAGGAAGACAAATGAAAAGAACATTTGGCATCTTTTGACCCTGAGCTAAGCGGTTTGTGTGTATATATATTTATAATATAATATATAATTAATATACTATAGTGTATAACACAGTTTCACACAGAAAGCATGGCCAGAACACTCATTTTCTTTGATAGGCACCAGATCCTCTTCAGCGATCTGCTATCGTTCTATTATGACTGACAAAAGTCCATTTGAGAAATCCGTCATATTGCCATGGAAAATGTTTATTTTCAAAAGCCAATTCAAGCAGCTATGAATCACATTCTTCTTTGGGAGTCAATAAGTTTGTAGTTCAATGTGAACTACCACCTACTTTTCTGTGTGTGAAAAAAAAATAAGTTCTCACATTTATGGCATTTTTCTAAAATAAGATTATTTCACTGTAATTCCACTTCATTTCACAGGAGAGAGGAAAGGTTACTTGCTGACAAGTTTAGCAAGAGTTTTCAGGATAATATCTGCTTGCAATGGAGCTAAACTTTATCACTGCTTGTTTTTGGGAGACTCCAGAAAAATTTGGGGTCAGTCTTGTATAATCCTATGAATGTCAATTTGTCAGTGGTGTGGGAGGATTTAGCAGCTGGCAGAGAATTTAGGTTGCATGTCTGTAAAGTATATTAATTAGAACTCAATAAGGTTCTTGTCATCAGGTGAGTTTCCAAGCTAGGATGTGGAAGTGGGAGGAAGATATTCATCAACAAGATTAGCACCTGGTCACTTGCTGCCGGAGCCTTGGCTGTGTCTACAGTGGGCCACTTATTCCGGAAAAGCAGCTGCTTTTCCGGAATAAGTGGCCCACTGTAGACACAGCCAAGGCTCCGGCAGCAAGTGACCAGGTGCTAATCTTGTTGATGAATATCTTCCTCCCACTTCCACATCCTAGCTTGGAAACTCACCTGATGACAAGAACCTTATTGAGTTCTAATTAATATACTTTACAGACATGCAACCTAAATTCTCTGCCAGCTGCTAAATCCTCCCACACCACTGACAAATTGACATTCATAGGATTATACAAGACTGACCCCAAATTTTTCTGGAGTCTCCCAAAAACAAGCAGTGATAAAGTTTAGCTCCATTGCAAGCAGATATTATCCTGAAAACTCTTGCTAAACTTGTCAGCAAGTAACCTTTCCTCTCTCCTGTGAAATGAAGTGGAATTACAGTGAAATAATCTTATTTTAGAAAAATGCCATAAATGTGAGAACTTATTTTTTTTTCACACACAGAAAAGTAGGTGGTAGTTCACATTGAACTACAAACTTATTGACTCCCAAAGAAGAATGTGATTCATAGCTGCGTAGTTCGAACTAGGAAGCCTAGTTCGAACTACCTAGTTTGTGCCGCGTGTAGCCGCGCGGCACAGGGTTCGAACAAGCGGGGATTTAAAAATGGTGGAGCCCCGCTTATGCAAATGAAGCCCGGGAAATTCAAATCCCGGGCTTCATTTGCAAGTGCGGTATGCCTACATTACCCCGCTAGTTCGAACTAGTGGGGTAGTGTAGACATACCTCCCGCAAGTGGGGTGTGCAGACAATGTCAGCCACTGCCTTTCACGGCCAGCATGACTGGACCCTGTCCCTTCTCCCATCCACAAGCTCCTGTGGGAAGGTGGAAAGTGGCAAGCAGGTGTACCCTAGAAGCTGTGGAGGAGGGTAAAGGAGTGATACAGACTGAGTCGACATTTTTAATACCAGCCTTGTTTCCCCAAAAGCATGGTTCAACCATGTACTAAATCAGACTTGCTGTGATCACACTGAAACTATGTTCAAACACAGTTTAGGATCCTGGGCCTGATTGCCATGACACAAGTTCTGTACCAATGTGACTTCCATGAGGAGTAACGGTAGTTTGGATTAGAGAGCCTAATCCGAACTACCTACTCCGTGCCGCATGTAGCCGCGGGCATGGAGTCCAAACTACCGGGGCTTTAAAAATGGCAGCGCCCGGCAAAATGCAGATGAAGCCCAGGATATTTAAATCCCAGGCTTCATTTGCAACTTCAGTTGCTTACATTAACCACCCTAGTTCGAACTAGGGTGGTAGTGTAGACATACCCTACCTGGCACAGAAGGCCACCACATCAGCTGCCACCCTGCCCTGGTGGTACAATTGGACCCTGTCCCCCTTCCCACCTGTAGGATTGTACACTGACAAGCCCCCTACCATGCCTGCCACCAAACTGGATGAGGCCATGTTCCCTTGAGAACTCTGTGTTGTACCTGCTGCACAGTGGCCACTTTAAAGCATGACTTTGGCCTAGCACAGAACACCTTTCCATTGTATTTAGAGATGCCTTCACTGTACGTTAACAGAGTAATATATCTTCTGTAATTTGTGTAAATTGTAATTTTTTGTTAGAGCGAGAACAGCAGGGAGCCTGCTGTGTACTCTCCCAGCTCCGCTAGCTGCCAGCTGACACAAATCTGAAGGCAAAAATGGACAGGGGAAGACAGGTTCAAGGAGCAAATGTAATCCACCCACTTGGAGAGGGAGCACATAACCAAACAGAGGAATACACTATTAGAGGACATGCAAGCAGAGCATCAGGAAAGGGGAGTATTCAGGGAACTGAAAGAGAAGCACCAGGAGACTGTCTTGTCATTCTTGATGTCTGTGGTGGACCACATGGCAGTCTAGATATGTACCTGGACAGACTCCCCCAATCTTTCACAAACCAGCTTTCCCTCCTCACCCAGTTCTGTAGCCTTCTCCCCCAGGGATCCTAAGACATGGGAGGGACTTGAGGACAGTCTCACACTCAACCTCCAGGGCATCATGAAGCAAAAGCCTGTGTCATCCTTGTATTTCTGATCCCCCTTCCGCTTTGGTTCCCACTGTGGACTCATTTTTTGTCCCTGCTGTCTCCCTAAATAAAAACATATGATCTCTGAACAACAGTTTCTTTATTGTTTGTATTGCAAGGGAGGACGGGGTTACAGGCAAACATGCCAAATGCAGGGGCAACTGTTTGAGAGCAACGTGCAAGACTCTCAAAACTGGCCATGCATAAAACTTTTTTTCAAAGTCTCTCTGATTTGTACTGACCTGCACTGTGCTCTCCTTCTTGCCCTGATATCTGTCTGCTCAAAATCTCTAGCTTGGCAGTCTGCTTCAGATCCACAACCTGCCAGATAACTTTCCCCTTGCTTTCACAAATATTATGTAGCACACAATAGGCTGCCACTTCAAAGGGAATGTTGTGTTTGCTGAGGTCTAACCTAGTCAGTAGACTCCTAAGCTTTCCTTTTTAAATGCCCCCAAACACATTCCACCACTATTCTGCACTTGCTCAGTCTGTAGTTGAACTGCTCCTTACTGCAGTCCAGGCTGCCTGAGTACGGCTTCATGAGCCATCAAAGCAAGCAGTAGTCTGAGTCTCCATGGATGACTATTGGCATTTCCACCTCTCCAATTCTGATTTTTCTGGTCTGGGAAAAAAAAATCCCAGCATGCATCTTTTTGAAGAGGCAAGAGTTCCTAAAGATGCATGCATCATGCACCTTTCCCTATCATCCCATCTTGATGTTGGTGAAATGGCCTTTGTGATGCATGAGCACTTGTAGCACCATCGAGAAGTACCCCTTGTGGTTGATGTACTTCTTAGGAAGTAGGCCAGGTGCCAAGATGGGGATGTGAATTCTGTCTATTGTCCCATCGCAGTTACCGAACTCCACCTCAGCAAAGCTATCCATTATGGTATCCATGTTTCCCAGAGCCACTGCCCTTGGTATAATAGTGGTATTGATTGCTTTGGCTACTTGTATAACAGCCCCCACTGTAGATTTCCCCACTCTGAATTGATTCTCAACTGACAAGTAGCTGTGTCGTGTTGTAAGCTTGCACAGAGCAATTGCCATGCACTTCTCCACCGTCAGAGTAGGTCTTACTGGGGTGCCCCTGCACTTCAGAAAGCTATTCACAAAGTTTCACGAAAGCGGCCTTGCACATTTTGAAGTTTTGGAGCCACTGCTGAGCATCCCATAGAATTGCTAAAGTCAATGTTCTTGGCCTCTGGGGGGCATCATATAAATATTCTGCTGTGACCATTCTGGCCAGGCCAGCTCTGGGTAACTTTGAATTTAATTTCCTGTGTGGACAAGCGGAGCAAGTTCACCTCAGAACAGGCACAACATCTGAGCAGTGAACACCTGACCATGAATTCAAGTTCCATAAACTGGATGAGCTACAATTCCCAGGGGCACAGAGGAGCACCAGCCCAACATAGAGTATGAAGGTGCTCTTGGACTTGATTGATGCATGAGGAGGGAAATCCATTCTCATAGCACCTCAGCAAACAAAACACAGATATCTATGTGAAGTTTGTAAAATCCATGGTTCAGAAAGGATATACCAGGGATGCTCCTTTTGAAAATAAAGGAGCTGAGGCAATTCTACCAAAAGACAAAGGAGCCAAATAGATGGTCTGGAGCATCACTGCAAACATGCTGCTCCTAAGAGCAGCTGCATTTGATCCTAGGGGGTGACCTGACTAGCATCCCATATGAGACCATGAATCCACCCAAGATGCTCACCAAGGGAGCAGTGTGAAGGACAGTGTGGTGGTGGTGGTTGTGGTGGTGGAGAAGGAGAAGGAGGAGAATGGTTAGCAGGCGAGCAGAGAGAGCTAAGAACTTTTTATAACGTTGGAGACAATCCCCTTCTCCCAGGATATCTCACAGTTGGGCACTGAATAGACAAGCACATTATGAGACACTGACAACATTAACCCAGCACCACTGGTTGTTTCCCAGGATGTCTAACCGTTTTGGTCCCAGCATGCACCCGGAGTATTACTTAGAATACAAAGCCGTGCAGGCATTGAGGAATAGCCACCCAAGTTCATTGCTCTCACAGTCAACAGCAGTCTCCTTACTAGAGATGCGCTAATTTGAACTACATTGAATTCTTGTGCACAGGAGTAATATGGACTTTCAACTTTACAAAATTGGGTCGTAAGAAATTGATCTTAATAAATTTGACCTTATCTTATAGGATATACACTGATTTCCCCATGTCCACAGAGCCAGTTGCCTCATCATAGAAGCTAATCAGATTGGTCAGCCATGACTTGTCCATGTTGACTATTCCTGATCACTTTCTCCTCTTCCAAGTGCTTCAAAATGGATTCCTTGAGGAACCCCTCTGTAATTTTTCCAGAGACTGAGGTAAGGCTGACTAGTCTGTAATTCCCTGGATTTACCTTCTTCCCTTTTTTAAAGATGTATGATCTGGATTCTGTCCCTCCAGGTCCTTCAAAATTGAGTGGCCCCAGTACATAAGATACTGATACAAGATGGTTTAGAATTTATTACATCATAAAGTAGCAGGGATGAGGAGAAAGACGTTTAACTAATCAAGAAAAGAGGTGTTAGTCGTAAGTTGATCTTATGAATCACAGCAACCATTCTGAGGCTTTAGTACCTAGCATACCACATCTGAAATTAAATAATACTTAACATACCACCTGTGGCATCTTCATCTATTCATTTATAGTGGGCTCTTATTGTGATTAAATCAGCCCACGTATCCCTTTATTGAACAGTGCATATGTCCAATGGTACAGTTCCATGACTACAGGTTTGAGTAGTGCTGCTCTATAAGAGAACACAAAATTATTAATCGTTCAGATTTTATTCTATTTCCTTCTGTCTGCACTGTGAATACAGCCCTTGACACTTACAGCACTGACTGTCTCAGAAGGATTATGGACTGAAAATATGTTTCATTTGGTCATCTTAGTTCAGAGAGTTCACTTCTCATCCTTTGATCACTGCAGCCATCCCTCTAAGCACTAAAACATGAATTGCCAGTTGGGGATTGGGAGGGGGGGATCAAGCTGATTGCTTTCTGAAGCTGTTCTTCCTGAGCTACTGGGAAACTCTGAAGAAGCTCCACATTAGTAAACAGCTGGCATCACACCTCATGTAATGAATTTATTTCAGCATGGATAAACATGACAACAGTTTGCTGTAAAGAAAACCTCTGGAAATAGCTGTAGTGCCCAAAGCATACCACAGCCTCCTGTATTTTTCCAGGGTCAATAGAAATTCCTGAAATAGTAAATCTTTTATTAAAAAGTCACTGAAAGTTTGAAAACTTTTAAAAACATATTTCTTAGGGTTGTGTATGATGAGGCATAAGCGATTTTTACGAGGGGAATTAACAGAGCCTATAATGTATAAACATGTATGTAAATGAAAAAAAAACATTATAAAGTATAACTGTAGAAAAATTTCTTCATTTGTTTAACTGTTCAGCCCAAACAGTCTTAACAGAGAACTTTGTTTGCAATACATATTGTATGTACCATACACACTACTTTTCAAATTAAAATTTACATAGCTGCATGCATATGGATTCTAGCTTACTGAAATTAAGAAAAGAAAATGAAAAACACTGTTATTTATACTATGATACCAACTAGTAGCCTCGGTCATGGACTAAGGCACGGGTGGGCAAAAGGGCCTCAGCGGGCCAGATCTGGCTCACCAAGCGGGTGGATCTGGCCCGCAGAGGTCCTGCTTCTCCCCCGCCCCCAGCCTAATTAAGGCCCAGGGATGGGGGAGAGCCCAAAAACTTCTCTGCTCTGCCCGTGCCCTGCAAGCAGAGCCTTAATTGGCTGGTGACGGGAGAACACGCAAAGCCTCTTTCAGGGCATGGGTGCTTAGTGGGAAGCAATGGTAAAGGGGCTCCCCCACTCCCAGACCAATTATGGTCTAGGGATGGGGTAGCCCTGCACCTTCCTTTTTAGGCTCCAGCCCTTCTGGTGTGGCCTGGGACTACTTCAAACATTTTTGAAGTGGCCCACCGGCAAAAATTATTGCCTACCCCTGGACTAGGGCCTGATTACATTAGGCAAAGTAAAATAGAAAAAAAAAGATAGTTCCTCTCCCAAATAATATTGAAATCACTTAAAAACATTGTTCTGGTGATCACTGCCCAAAATACCAACGTACTGTACAACAAGATGACAGAAATCTGTTATACTAAAGTTGCTATATGTACAAATTATGTCCTACCGTTCCAATTAAATCAATGTACTCTCACTATAACAGTAGCATGGCAAGTGACATATATGGTTGTGACTATTTTCTTCCACTACTTGATCTGAGGAAGTGGGTCTGGCCCACGAAAGCTCATCATCTAATAAACCATCTTGTTAGTCTTTAAAGTGCTACATAGTCCTGCATTATGCTGTAGAAAGGAAAAAAATCAATATTGAAAGTAGAAGCAGCATGTGGTAAAGACGGAATGAACTATTGAAAAAAATACAGCCTTCCCAGATAGTCATGATGAGAGCCAGGTTCCTTGAATTAGTGGTTTTAATGTACTCTGGGACTGATGGCTTCCTGACTGAAACCACCAGAGCATCTGATTTAATTAGCTACTGAGGTTAAAAACTGAATGTAAAAGGCTGAACTACCCTCTTCACTGTGGAAGTGGTTAGTCTCTCTTTAAACGACCTATACAGAATGAGAGAAATTTTATAGAACAAGTTTTGTTCCTTGCTTTACATGAATCTACAAAGAAACCAGGGGACATAAGATGCCACTTTACAAAACTGTGCTGGCTAGTCCAATTACAAGTCACAGCACAGAGGGGAGAAGCAGTTTCCACAAGGTTGCTATCTCCACCTCGGTGCAGGAGGCTTACGATAGGCAATTTTTTTTCCTGAGTGGATGAGACTATATCTTAAGTTTCTAGTACTCATGATTATCCAGAATGTTTTTCAATAGAGACATAAAATCCACAGCCTAGGAGAGTTCTTGCCAGTAAGTACATTTACTAGGTGTTCAAGAAAAGCAAACAAAAGATGTTAAAGTTACTATCATCCATCAACCTTTAGCATACTGCAGTCAGAGATACGACTGCAACATATGTAGA